TCTTACCACATCAACAATTTTTAAAGATGAGGACAGCTTTCCATCTGATGGCCACTCAATTCTATGAAGTGAATTCGTTGAACAATGCGCCCCAGAATCCACAGATGTTCTTGCAGATAGAAACACAAGAAATTTTCCATCTGGGCTGAAACATACAAATGATAATGATCCAAATACAATCAGCCATCTTGTGAATCAAGATTGGAACTAGAGATTCCAAAGCTGTCAAGCAGGTATTCATGTTATCTTCAGTAGCATTTTTCGAAAGTTTTATATAATTCAAGAACGCTTAAAAAGTGGAGAAAATATATATAGATCTCGCACTTTTCAGTAACTACTAACCTAATTTACAAAGAAGAGTAAATGTCAACAGAAGAGCTCTAAGCAATCTCAATTCTCCAAATCTAGACTCGGATGAAGATGGAGAAACTGAATTAGTATCTTCAAGCTGGTTAATCCAAAACTTTGTGGACTACAAATAATACAAAAGGACTGGAAAAAAACTATATTGTCTCAAGAAGAGATTTGCAAATTTAAGTCATGGGATATTCTTCGATGTGGAGGGGGAAATGTAGCGAGCTATAGAAATAGAAATGGAGAGACATGGGATAAAAGAGAGACAAAGGGCATGGAGAACTCAATTAAGGGCAAGGCTTGAGAAAAACCATAAATTTAGAGAACCAAAAAATATAGACTTGATAATTCAAAATTGTCTCTTAACTACGACTGTAAACAAACCATAACCGAGTTATATGAGATGGATATTTACCTGAACCGCGGAAAAAAGGAACTACTAATGCTTTGAGTTAGATTGATAACAAGCGACTCTTCAGTTGAACCATCTCTGAAATGTCAAAAGAGAATTAATACATTTGACGTTAAATGCAAACACAAAACAATTGTTGAAAGGAAGGCATAGCCCATAACCATAAAGAAAACAAAAGCAACTCACTTTAGATCATCTTTTTTGGCATCTGATTCATGAAATGCTGCCCTAACTGCGTACAACGCACAGGGCCTGTTATAGCAATATTTTATTCCAAGCTTTCTTGTACCTGATGACCAACCAACAAAAACCAAATGCTGATCTGAACCATCAATTGATGGAGCCCACACAACTTGCCCGACACTCAAAGACTTGTCAACTCCTTTAACAGCTTGTACCTCTCCACTGCACAACATACAAAAATGTTCCAAATCAAGTTTGAATCCAAAAGAAGGCCATTCCTTTTGTTATCATGACTCTGATATAATCTTAAACAACAGTACTCAACCTGCTTATGTTGATGACATAAAGTGCGGGTTGCCTTTTCCCGGCATAAGTCTCCCCCCAGTCCTCCTCCCAATCTCCTTGCCCTTTCCAGCTACCAAAGTCCTTATCCATTGAACCACCTTTCTTGTAACCTACATCATTAAATGCGGGTTTTGTGGGAGATGGTTCCTCAGCAACATAAGCAATGAGAGTTTCATCAGAGTTCCAAGAGAATCCCTCAAACCTATATAATCAAAGCACGTTTTAACTAATGCACGTACTAAAAACGACCATATTCAAAATAAAGCCAAGATCTACAAGACTAAGGGCCTATTTGGCGCAGCTTTAAGAAGCCAACTTTTGGTTACTAAGACCAAAATCAGCTTCTAGAGGTGTTTGATTGAAATATTGAAAGATCTTGCAAGCTGTTGGAGGCTCTTCCACGAGACGCCAGACACACATTGCTGCACTTGAAAGAGCTTCCACAAATAAATGGGAAATTATTCTGTTTTTTTTTT